AGAATTAATATTAATTCTCTATCTATTTTTTAACAAGTACTAGTATTACTTGTAAATTTATGATTAATCCCCGAATAAATTAGTTAGAAAGAATTATTATAAAGACAATTTTTATCAAACTCTAACTTAATCAACGATTAATTGCCTTAAAAAATTTCTATCCATATATATAATATTACTTTAATTTTACTCATAAAATTAGAAAAATAATACTTTTAAAAATGTTAAGAATTCAAAAGAAATAAAGAGCACATACCGTACGTGTTTCTATTTCCAATTAATATTCCAATTAATTTTGAGATCAATAATAAATTAATATTTAGTAATAAATTTTTTAAAGGTGCACGATGCTACAGTCATTAAAACGAGAAGAAAGACGTTCAAGAGAAAGCTATAAAATGTATCTACGTCTAGATTTTGCCTATATAAAAGAAACAAATATACGAAGTGTAATTAAAATGGATACGTGTTTAACATGTATTTTTTAAATTTTACGATCTAATTTTCCGTGAATTATTAGAAACAGTACGTGTTGATGCTTTTTAAATTAATCAATTAGAATTTTTTTGAAATTTTAATAGCTAGCTCAGATCTGTTTCCTACTTAGTCATCCGAAATGCAAAATCTCTGCGTTTTGCATCTTAACAAGTGGAAGAAATTACGTACATTAAACATACACATATTAATCTTTAACTTTTGATTATAATGTTGCATACAGCTGGGGTACTCTTTATGCTAAAATAATAAAATATTTCACAATAAATAAAACTAATTACGATCGGAATACACATATATAACGTAAAAATGCTGATTTTGTTTTTGGTTGCAAGATCGACCATGAATCTTCTTATTTAACATTGCTAGACGATATTCCATTGATGTCATCGAAGTTATTTTGACAGTAAACTATAAAGCTATATTTGACGACTCTCGCGTGGACTTCCGTAGAATGTTGTCGATGCTGAACATCGTCATTTTGGCGATACGTCCTGGGGGGGAATCTGTACATTCGGTTTCGGTATTTTTCGCCACGGCGTTTTCTTCGTTCGTTTCAATAATTTTACGTTGTTCCTCTTGACGTTTCGAATTGGACAAGAGTTCGGTCGATACCTGCAATCAAAGCCGCGCTTCAGAGTAGTGTTAGCAGAAATTCTCCGTTTTTCTAGCGAAGTTACTTCCTAGCCCGAATATTTGAAATAAGACGCGATCGAAAGACTAGCTTCTGCAGACGCTGAGAGGATACACGGCGCGAGGCGCGAAGGGAGCTGACCATCGCGTCTCAAAGAGTCAGGAGATAAATTTGCGCAGGACCCTCTCTCACGAGAGTAGATAGAGGCTAAAGCTTCTCTGTACCGGTAATCCCGCGAGCTCATCCGGTCTCCCCTGAGCGAGCACCGGCCGCCTCCGTCTCGTTCTTCTGCGCCTGTAATTGCCGTGCTCGAACATCTCGCTGGCAGACGGGTCCAGGGTCCAGTAGCTTCCCTTCCCGGTTGTATGCAGGTCCTCGCCATCATCCGCGCTCGTCCGGTCCCGCGGCACCTTCACGAAGCAGTCGTTCAGGCTGAGGTTGTGCCGTATGCTGTTCTGCCAACCCTGCCGGTTCTCCCTGTAGTAGGGGAACCTGTCCATGATGAATTTGTAGATGCCGGCGAGGGTCAGCCGTCGCTTCGGCGACGAATTGATCGCCATCGCGATCAGGGCGATATACGAGTACGGCGGCTTCTCGTGATTCGGCGGCGCGGTCTTGTAGCCGGCGATCGCGGGTGGCGATCTCGCCAGGATCGGCCAGGACGCCAGCGACGACGCTTGGCAGAAGGTCGGCCAGGCCGCGACGTCGGCGCGCAGCATCTCCGGGACCAGGCTGGCGAGTCCGCACGCTGAACGTTTCACGGGGAACATCTTGTCAATCGGGAAGACGCACCAGTACTCCTGCAGGCATCGCGTACGCATGTCGTACGCTTGATCTTTCGCGTCCGCGAGGAGACCGCGAGGAACCTGAGGACAACCGTTCGATTGTTGCATCGGGAATGCTTCCTTGAACGTCCCGGAAAAAGACGCGGTCAGCGTCGTTCACGCAAGATTGCAGCGATCGTCGGAGTCTTCAGGAGGCTTTAAATAATCGCGTTATAAACTTCTGCGTTATCGCTTCTCTTAGTTTCTCGACGGCGGAACCGGTAGTTCCGCCGGGGATGTCCCGCTGCGGCGCACTCACTAAGCCGTGAAATTGAAGTTACATCACGTGTTCTCACCGTATCTTCCTTTCTCGCGATGAAAACTAAAAAGCACCGTGTTAAATTTCACCGTGTGGATTCCCGCGGGAGGAACGGTCGAGTCACAGATCGCACTGAATCGTAAATCGTCGTAAGGGAAAGAACGCGGGACGGGACACCCTGTCGACGATCGGGACGCGGACTCGCCGCGGGGATTCCGTCGCATCCAGCTGCCCTAACGTAGAGGAGAGATTTGTTTAATTTTGACACCAAGGGGGGAATCTAGAGGTTGGCTCAACCCCGCCCATCGGTGGTTTTCCAGTGAACTCCCGTTTACGCTCTCGTGGGGAGGAGATTACCTATCCGGGACCGCACTACGTGTTTTATTGCTGTTTACACATATGCTGTTTCAACACCCACGCCGGTAGTAACCGCGCCAATATATAAACAGTGTTGCGATAATTATATCGAGGCCGAACGGTTTCTCGGAACGGTCTCTTCCTTCTAGCCGGTCCTCCCTCACGATCGATGCGAAGGCGCGCACAGAGTTAAGGAAAAAAAAATAAAAAAAATAAAATAAAAGAGAGCAGAAGTCAGAAAACACCGACTGCTTCTAACTTTCTCGCAAGACCGATTTTTCGCTTCAAGTTTGATTAAACGTCAGTTTGTAACGTCTACACTTTTCTTTGCCTCGGATCTCCCCTTTTTATAGCAATCCATCTACAGCGATAAGTTAATATATATATGTACATCAGGCAAGAACGAATAACTAAATTAAGATAGTCAGATAATATAATAGATTGTACGATTTATTTAATTTAATTTACTATGGTTATGATAATGTGATCGATATCCATTTTCTAAATGAATGGATAAACATAATGATGATTAATTTCATCTCTTCCTTAAAAATTTTATACAGAAAATTGAATAAAATTATATAAATTACATTCATTTAAATATAAAATGAAAGCGCCAGGTTGTCTATTTTTTCACTTTATGCGTTGCTCGTCAAATCTTGTAATATTATTTTCTGGGCTGTTGGGTTGTCCTTCGGTACCTACACACATTAATTTTTTTTTTAAACAGATGTGTATGTCATTGAATACATTTAAAGTATAAAATATACACACATATAAGTATCACGAAATTATCGATCAATAAATATAATTTAAAATAATTTTGAAAATATGGAAGAAAAAGAAAATTAACAATATTCGTTAACAACATTTTGGACTGTCGAATATTTTGGTCACGCTACTTTTAACTATATCTCACATTTACGTAGCGCTGAAAGGAACTTTGTGAATTTCACGCGATAATTAATGACACCTAATCAGTCACCCGTACGCCGCTTTACAATCACGGACCGTTATAACTTCAAAAACACCTGCTACTGTGACGAAATCTTCTTTGCATAAGTTATGGAAGCGAACGAATCGTCGAATGTAAGAACGGCTTGCTGCATGCGATTTAGGATTCTCCTTGCAGCAAATTAATCCCGGGGCTATTGCTTGCGGCTTATAATAAATACGAAAGCTGAGGGGAGGGAGAGAGAAAGTGCGTTGTATGTGCGTACCATATGTCCGGCTCTGTTGACCCAATACATCCTGAAGTTATCTTTAGCCTTGATATAGCCCTCGACGATGTCGTCAACGAGGAGCGGACGCCTAGCTGAGTTTTTCCAGGTGTCAGCATTTTTCCATTTCAGTTTTTCGACCCAGAGAAGAGTGCCTGAAACATATATGATATATGATAAGGGCTTATATATACAGTGTGAGAACGATAAAAAAACGTATAATAGCTCATAGTGATATGAACTGGATGGTATTAATATAATTGGGAAGTTGGTGATTCCATAAAGAAGATATCAAAAACGTAGAATTTTTCAATATTCGGAGGTTTGTCACATCAATTAAAAAATGAAAATTAATAATGTCTTTTAAGTTTAAAACTTAAGTAATTTTTAACATAAATATTATTAAAATAAGAATAAAAGAATTTAGCCTACTTAAAAAATGTTTAAAATTGCCGAACAATTTCATTTCTAAAATATTATTAGCAAAAACGCTATGACGTTCTCATATGAATAGCAAATAAATATTGTAATAAATTTCTTTCAATTAATATTTATAATAATATATCGTGCTATTAAGATATTTATATTAAATATAAAAAATGGGAAGGTTCTCTCTCGGTAACAGCACATCTAGAAAAGTAAATGACAACTTACCCGGCGTATCGACAATTAAATCCATGTGTCCATTGTACACAAATACGTTCAAGTCGGTTTCATTAAGTAACCTTTCCACTAAAACAATTACATTTACATTTATTAATGACTAGATTATATTATAACGCAATTATATATATTATATAATACGCAATAATAATTCTTTGTATCACAAATAAATTCGGTTTAAAGCAAATATATATTATATATCAGAGTGCATCGTAGAATCTGTTAGTTTATCAATTTATGTATCTATACAAAATATAAATATTTTCTTAATTCATATATGAATTAATTCATATGCTCATGTCGAAAACTGCTTTAACAACTTCTTTTTTTTAATTCTGCGAGTTGTCAAGCTTTTACATTTGCTCTGTTTGGAAATAATGACAACTGTCTTCATAAATATACACCAATTTCTTTTCCTTTCGCTTTCGCTGCAACGCTGACGTTCTTTCGATACATTAATTGACCGATACCTATGTGAATAACGGGCTTCATAAAATCTTCATTTAAGTACTTGAAAACGGCATTGGATTGGCTGCCGTGAACGACTTGGATACCAAGCGCTTTCTTTACCGGTCCATTCATCAAAGCATCGAGTGAGAAAGAGTTCTCAGACTGATGTGAATCAAAATATGGATACCTGCAATGGGTAATACCTGTAAATAAAGAAAAAAATTATATAGTCGTACATAATAATTCTACTGTTCCGATAATAGAAATTTTATAATACGTTAAATGTCCTTTGTATTTTTGTGTTAATATTGAAAATGGAATCAAAATTTCTCGTTCAATGTAATCTTATAAAATAATGTAATGACATTCCTTTGTATACCTGTAAGTGAGACCATTGCATTCCATGTCAACGAATCATACGAATTCGGATTCATTTTTGAAAGAATATTGTAAAAGTCGACATTATAAGTTTCTTCCAAAACAACCCCTTGCGTTCTGGCCCACTCTTGAGTCGCTCTAGTCCATTCTTCATAATAGACTGCATTTTTCGTTATTTGTGCCGCTTTGTCAATTCTTTGGAAACCTTCCGTGTCAATCATACCCTGCAAAACATGTGATAGTTTCCAAACAGTTTTATGAAAGTGCTTTGCGTGAAAAAAAAAGAGAAATTTCGGGCGATTAGCATCGATGCGATGAAGAAAAATGAAAGACAAAGGAGCTAGGAAATTGATTATATTGGCTCTCGAGATCTGAGATTTGATTAAATTGAGTGCCTCTTTCTCGATGATATCATTTATCGTGATTGCTTTTCTTATTCAATCCGTTGTAAAATAGATTTATTTCGTCGAGAAGTACTATGAACTTGATCAAGTGTTAAAATGACGATAAATAATCGAGTGCTTACCGTGCTGAGTAGAAATGGTGCCCACGTCAGTACAGAGTCGACAGGTGAGATCCAAGCGTCCCCGAGTGCGACTCCTTTTAAATTACTTTTAATAGTGCCAGCTTTCTGCGCCTGCAGAACATTCATACTATTCAGGTACGTGAATTTTATAGTTTTTTATAAAAAGCATATAAGTTATTTCATCATATTCGGTAAGTCATTACGATGCCATTATCGCTACTATTATTTAAACATTATAATTTAAACACTAATTTTCTAAATCATTAGATGACTATGTATAAATATTATGGCTTTACATGTTACAGAATGTTGCTCTTATCGTCATCATCTTAAATGTTTCTGACAATACGAAAATGCGTCGCGGAAAAAAACTTTATTTTAAAAGAACGAATCTTACGATTAATAAGAATTCCTTTTTGTCTTTTGAGACTTTAATGTTATCACCGTTTCTTTTGAGAAATAAATTCTTTTTAATTTAGAAAAATAGGCTTACGAGAATATTATATCAAACATATCAAAGTAGAGGCCGTATACAAGCCAACACGGATGATGGTGTGTAATAATTTTTTTTGTTTTTTTACAATAAATTGTGTGTGGTTGGATATTGTAAAAAAATTATTACACACTATAATCCGTGTTGGTTCGCATACGGCCTCTACTTTAATATGCTTGATAAATTCTTTTTGTTTATTATTATTTTTAATTAGCGTTTCTCTTACTAAGTCCCAGATTAACGCAAACTCCGCGCCCATCTTTCCGCCGTACGACTCGGTTGTGATATACGTCGGGACATCCTCGAATACCGGTAATTTCTTGTAAAATCCTCGCATACATTCTACAAGATCCGTTGCAATTTGCGTGTTCGTCGTCGCAAACGCCGTCGTGGTTGTAACGTAACTGTAGCCGGTACCAACAGGATTGTCGATGAAGAGAACATTATAGTCTTTGACCTAAGCATAAATTATATCCACAACCATCCATTAAAATATTAAATTATATAATAAATCTACATATTTATTGAAGTAAATCTATGTACCAATTTTTTTTAAATCATATTTTCTTACGATTTCTAAATTTTTGCTATATTCTTTGTGTGCAGAATTGCTTTCTCTCTTTCTTCAGTTACCTCACCAATAAACCAACTGTTTCAAGCATCTTAACAAATTGTCTCAATAATTCAGTATTTATTAATTATACACACTAGATATTATGTTCAATTCCGACAAAATCTACTTTACTTTTGTGTAATTTATTACCCAAGTATAATTCCTATATTGCAGATTCACATCGAGGGGTCCCAATTCCTCGAAATTTCCGAAACTCGTCGAAGATCCGCCTGGTCCACCTTGCAACCAGATGATTAACGGCTTATCATAAATTGCATTGGTGTCTGCCGTAGTATAGTAGAGCCACCAGAACATATACGCTTTGGGGCGTACTTGCACGTAATCCCATTCTTGTTCTCCAGGACCGAACCCCTTTCTTCCTTTTGTAAGAAAATTTTTAATTATTAATAAAAATAGATGGATATATGTATAACAATGAGATAGCATGACATTATTATTATAATAATTCTTAGATAAGCATAACGATAGAATAATTTTTTTTATTCTGTTTCTTTTATAATTCTTTAGAAAAAGATTAAAAAATTAAAGAGTAATAATATATATCGAGAAGTCGTTTCAAGAAAACGTAAATTTAAGAAAGTATTTTTTTTCTACAATTTAAATGGCGTACTATTTGGCAATTTATTAGATTAGAAATCACATTGCTCCTCTGTACCGAGCTTCAAGACGAAGAAGCGTCTCAGCTATTAACAATGATTCGAAAGTCGGCAACGCAAAGACGAGTAGCCGAACGGCGTGTGTTTGACAAGCGAAGGCCTAGGTAAATTTGCGAAGTTTTAAAAGAAATCGCAAAATAAACGTGCCCGTGTCACTGTGGTAAAAGCTATAGGAATGCAACGGTCGAGTATTCTGACGTTTATTATACTTGCATCAAAATTCGGCAAACTTGTGACGCAGGTAAAAACATGTTGTGCGTTTCTTAAAATTTAACAGCCAAATTCGTGCCACTTGTACGTACTAGTTGAAGAAAGAGACTACTTATATGAACAATGCGCATTATATAAATATTTTCTAAAAATATCTTATCGAGGAGATAACAGTGAGTTGGGGAAATACACGGCTCTTTAAAGATAATAATAATATAGATAATATTATTACTTTTTAATTTTTTTTAAATCTTTTTTTAAAGAATTTTATTGTTAGATAATTAGAACATTATATAGAATATATCTATAATGTTCTAATTATCTAACAATATATAAAATCAGAAAGATACTATTTAAAACTCTTATCAATGCAAGCCTGAACCAATATTGATATCAAGATCGATCGATTCTTTGTCTCTCAAGATCACTGAACTTTACATTGTTATATTTTTATTTGAGGAAACATAAGAGGAAATATATGTGTTTTATGATTTAACGGACAAACTACGATAGCATATTCTATAAATAAAAATGAAAAGAAAATGTTATATAAAAGTTAGAAATATTTTATAACAAAGTTACTAACAAATTTTAATATGGAACATAAAATAGGAATCAACGGATTTTCTATTGTGCAGAATATGAAAATGTACATTTCGTGTACGGAAAGGTTGAACGTATTTATCTCATGTGTATATTCACGTCATATTTATAATATTTAAACAATTCAGTATCATATATATTATAACTTTGTAATAAAGAATTTCTAGCCAAACTTCATATAACATATTTTTTTTTTTATTTTCACTTGTAAAATATTTCCCTTTGTCCGTTAAATCCTGAGACATTCTGAATATGAAAGAGTATTATAATTTATTAAAATAAGGCATTTTTAGGCATGTTTATAGAAGGAATCTTTTTTGTTATTTTCACATAAGAAATAGTTGAGCATTATTAAATTTTGATGATTTGTTTAAATTTTTATAAATCTAAACTGTGGGTATATGACAATCAATATGTGTGTTTCGTACGCTGGCATACTTCTAATAAATTCACTTTCGAAAATGACATTTTAACTGTTACGAAATCTGCAGTCATTGAAGTAACGTCCGCTTACTTTGCTATTAAATCTGCATATTTATATTGCTGCATTGTCGCGTAATGTTAATATAACCGTATGACAAAATTTATCGCACCAATGATTGTCTCATCTTACCGATACTGCCGGAAACAAAGCACAACACGGCGAAAGTGTAAGCAAGTAGATCCCGCATCTTCTCTCTTCGCAGTGAAACCTTTTAGAAATTAATTGCCGCGAGATTCGTAATATATACGATTTTATTGTCTTTTATCTATCGTGAAATCGATTAGATATACGTATACACGTGACAATCAGCAATCATACAATTTATATCGGTTGCATTCCATTGATTAATTACTCTGCATTCAACGTTTTGTTTCGTCCGATTCTATCACTTCAGTAATCTTAATCTTTGGATAAAGTCGTTCAGATTTGCGACAGATAATGGACGACAATCGATTTCTCTATTTACACGATCGAATACTATATGCGTATTCGCGAGCAAAAGAAACGCTTATTGTGGTACGTCCGAAGTTTTAATAAAATCAATTTACAAAACACTATTTATAGCCTTTAACGAGTGTGCTGACGACCGGAGCTCGAATTCGCGGCGGCCAAGTCAAAAGTGTCCAACGTATGACGCGCGAGAATATTCGATTCGCGTGATGCATTCGATTCGGCGACTTTAAATCTTACAGCAAATTGAAGTTTGCTGCAAATTACTTAAATTTTGAGTTTCTTTCGCGTCGCGGAAAGATCCGTGGATAGGATCGGATACGGAAGTGCGATTTGACGCCGCGGTTCACGTCGAAACTATAACTGTCGAACTGTGCGTAGCTGCGAGGGTACAGACCTTTTTGTTGTAAACTCATTTTCTAGAAGGTCTTGTTGGCTCCTTTGTTGTTAAAGCGGACGATTAGGCGGCCGGCAAAAGAGACAAATAATGTTTGTCGATAGCTTAATTTGGCTGCGTGCGGGAAGAGTGTTACACACAGCGCTGCTGTCTCATTTCGTTCTTGTTTTACGTCTAATTGTAAGATAAAGTTAAAATATATGACATGTAATAGCGCTTATAGCGCGCTCTTCGAACGAATAGCTTTAGCCGTTAAACTTATATAGATGTTTGTGACCGGAGCGTCCTTTGATTTTTTTAATATTAAACTAGCACTACAGACACGCGCTTCGCGCGCGCTATTTAATTGCACTTTTACTTTTTACTATAATTGACTATAATTATACCTTAATACATACAACTGCCAAAAGTCAATGTAATGACAGCCGCTCACGAAGTTATTAAATTTTTGCTAGATTTGATTGTATTAGATTTTATTTGAGTAAAACGCTTTTGCGATTTTCATAGTCTTACTCTACTTAAAATATCTAGAGAGATATCGAATTGTGAGATTCACACATTATACATACGCAATAAACTTGATCCTATCTCTGAGTAGCGACTAGTGCGTAACTCATCGTTTCAGAACCAATAGAAGGATTTAACATTCCGCGTGTGGTACATAAGCGCATCGACCGCGGGAAATAGTTACGAAGGAGAAAGTAGCGCCGTCATCGCTCAAACATTCGGCTGTGCGCGAGGATGAAAAAGAAAAGAGAAAAAAAAGAAAGAAAGGAAAAAAGGAGAAAGACCGGGAGGAGAAAAAAAATCGCACGCATCAAGACGCGCGCGACGAAATGAAAGGTCGCGAAACGAGAGAAAGAGAGAGAGAGAAAGAGAACGCGTCTTCTCCTCTCGCTCGTTTATTAATTTGATTGTCCCGTTGCCGTTCACGAAGTCGCCGACCCAAATTGACTTTCCGTGCTCGAACTTTAACGACGCTCCGGAAAAACGGCGCGTCCGGGAGGGGCTGGTTTCTTCCTCTGCCAATTTCCGGGCAATGAAACGGCCGCGGCGCGTCGCGTCCGAGAATAAGAAAGTTCGCATAATCGGCACAATCTCATTAGACGTTACATCACCGCGAAGGAACAGAAAAAAAGGGTAGAGAGAGAACGGATAGGTGAAGTTACCGAAGCGATTTTGCAATGACGCTCGAATTCGCGCGCGGGAAGTGTATCTCTCACCGCGAAATTCTCTTCCGTTCCCGGAGGGACTTTTTGCGAAAGAGGCGCAAGATCGGTTCGCGCGCGCCTCACACATAGGTACATGTACATGCATAGGTACACACGTGCACTCGCGCGTCCGCCAAATGTCGCTAATTGACATTCGTGCCACGTGCTTCGCAAAACGCACGCGCGCTCCTCTATACGCGCATGGTCCGTACGGTATTCCCGACAGGTTTTTCGGTCTATTGCTACTCCGGAAATTATCGGCGAGGCATGAAAAGGCCGCGCGTATAGACTCTCTCGATTTCTGTCGAAATCGGGAACGCGCGCGCGACGCGCCGTATAGCACGCCGTGCCTTGCGTAGCCCATCTGTTTATTCAGAACAACCGTTTGCACGGTTTAACATCGTAGTTACGTGTGGTATAACGTACAAGTAAAACGTACGCGAAATGAAATCTGTATGTCGCACGCGCGTTCGTGATTTTTTTTATTCGAGAGAATAAGGGGGGAAACTCTATTCGAGGGAAACGATCCAACGCGGATGTAACCGAAATCTCCGGAGGGGAGCCTCGCGCGGATCTCTCGGCGCGATAAGACTGGCTCGTTAGCGGCCTAATTAAACATCGGCAAGCGGTATCTGGGCAATTAGGTAGATCCATCAACTCGTGGATGTTCCGTACGGCCGAATCCAGGTAATAAAGAGATAATGGAAATAATAGCCGGCGGCAGGATGCGTGTGGATACGAGAAAGAGAAAGAGAGAGAGAGATGGATAGAAGGATAGAAAGAAGAAGAGAGAGAGATAATGAGAAGCTCGATCAATGATCGCTCGTTCCTCGGTAAGAAAGTCCTCAATGTCGGTAAATCGTTACGGGAAACGCTTGTAGCTTCCATTATGTAAATTAATAGCAGATAACGTTAATTAATACACGCGCCGTCGACGTGTCGTTCCGCCTGTCGTTCCAGGCGACTCGACTGTTTGCAGCCGGCCGATGGCTTCGCGCGTCTCATCTCATCCCGCGGCACGGCGTGTGCCAGAAGGCGTGCGCGTTTTCGCGAAGATGCGTATCCGGTCCAATCTGTATCCGACTTGCGCGCATAAACAAACCATTAAAATTCGCCAGAAATACGTTTGCTCGTGCGGCACGACTACGCGGTCTGTTGGACGTGTCTGTTTTGCGGCGCCTCGAGAACGGGGTGGAGCCCCCGCGGCGCGAAAGTCGCAAAGCGTCTTATATAAACTATACATTGTGTTAAATATACGTTATAATACATATATATATATATGTAAATTATATATAATATTCATCTTCCTAGATTCGGCTTCCTAGATGAGGGGCTTAAATATTAGCCGTGTCGCATGCACGAGTGAGTACGTGAAACGCACGACGTCGGAGCTGCAAGCGAATCGCCGGAAGAGGAGAACTCCTCTTCCTACATAATTATGATCAGAGAAATGATCGTAAATAACGCGGCCGCGTATGGTTGTTTTATCGGCCGGAAAATCTCAATGGAAGATAATTGTTAATGCGACCACGACTGGATGATGACGATATATATGCCCTTCCGAGCCCGCGTAACTTTCCTTTTGACATAACGCGATTGCGACTCGTTGGCATCAGAGAGATGCGCGATACGCGAGCAACAATTACGAAGTCGCTTCACGATTACCGTGCGATCCACCCTGCCTGCTTGAAGAATTGCCGCAATCGGGACGCGGGTCGGGAAAGCCTGAAAGTCAGCTCGATCTAGCCCGTGTGTCGCGTCGCGCGCGCAGTCCAATACAATATATATATAGTATATACGCTTTATACGCTCTATATGATATCACGAATACGCGGAATACGTTTTGCGCTTCATACATACGTAACTATGCTGGACGGCCGCGAGTTGTGTAACGTGCCAGCAGAATCGCCCGCAGGAGAACCGTTAATGGATTTCGAATGAGGCAAAGTACCTGATGTAGACTTCCTGGTAGCAGAACGTATTTTTTCTTTTCATTTTTTATAACAGATCGCGGGGTCACGCAGAAAGGAACGTTTTTTTTTGTTGCCGCGTAAGAGAGGCTGCGTGGTTTCTATACTACTGATAGATTTTACACGCGAATCTAACACTGATAAATTATTCGCAAAAGACGAATATAATTTACGGTATGTCGATGCCTGCGTAATAATAATATTTTACGTTTGTACACATGCAGAGCGAGCCGGCACGGCGAGACTCCGCGACGCGAGCGCGGCGCAGAGGTGAAATCTTCAACGCCGATCTCCAGGCACGTCGACCTCTTTGGCGGCGAAAATTCATTACGCCGTCGAGAATGGTCTCGGAGTTAATCTCAATTAATATAAGTCGCTTTTGCTATCACATCCGTAGTGATGAATACAACCATATATCCTCTCTACCGTGCAAATGGCTCGCAATGATTACTACTGTGTATAAATGCGGAAAGAAAGCGGTTCTTTCGTGACGCCGGCTTCGCGAATCCTCCTTGTGCTAATGTATCGCAAAAATGTACGGAAGGTAATCTTCAATTTGTCATTTAATAAGTGCCACTTAGACCGGAGGTTTTTTTTGTACTTGGAGTATTTTTCTTCCCGAGTTCTTTGGAGGAGATTATGATGTATCGGGAATTGAAGCCGTATATCTGACGATAAATTAATTATCATCCAATATTTATGCTCGCGCCTATCGTGTCGCGGTTCTATCCGTTTTAACGAGCTTCAAACGAATTGGACAACGCACTCGAGACTCGTCCCGATCGTGCGGCAGAACTCGCGATATTCTCGAGACACAGTGAAAGTAACCGATTCGATTATCTCCTTGAAGACAAAAAAAAATCGAAAAGACAGCTGCCGCTGACATCGTATCGGAAGAAAGTCAAAGTAATTCCATTCGTGTGGTCCGAGTAACGACTCTCACAGTTTCTCGCCTCCTCGCGACTCTCCTGCGTGTCGAAAAAAAAAAGAAAAAATAATCGAAGATACTTGTTGCGTGCGACAAACTATCAAATTAAAATTAGCCTCGTGAGACAATTGTATGTACGTGCATATGCAGGAGGAAAAGAATATTTCCATCAGTTTATGTTAGCAGCTAGGGTAGCTGTCCCTATTAGTGTGCTTTTATATTTAAATAAGTCATAAAAATTAAGTTAAAGTATTAACTTAATAAAAAAAAACACTTTGTCTATTTATTTGTAC